CATTGTGTACTGTAAAGCTTGAAAATAAAATAAAAGAAAAAGAAAAAGTAACAAAGCATGTTTTACTAGTTGTCCTTACACATTCGTTGCTCAGTGCTGATTTCTTGAATTCTTCTATAACCACTTTATTCTCAACAAAGAGCGGCATGTGCTCTGGTCCTGATTATGTGCTTATTTCTATCACCATAAAAAGATCAAGGTTTTACCTTCCCACACTATCTCATCATGACCACGGACACTCTTCCAATAGAGCATACAGAAGCTATGTTCCGTTGGGGAACTTCGTTTAACCCATCCAGAACACTGTAGATATACTGACAGTGTGATTTACTGAGAAAATTTAACACAACTCTACCTTCTTCCGAATGTTATTCCAATACCGTGAATTGATTCTCTGAAGCTATACACAGAGGTGTTAACCACAGTGTAACAAAAAAGGGCTAACATACAAGTTGCTTCTTTCTTTTTGTAGATACATGTGTCAGTGATAACATTGCAGTGAGCCTGTTATAGTGAATTAATATAGAGAGACTGACAGAAAGCTTATTAATTATACCTGCTCAGTCTCCATATCGTCAGGAGCATCTTCTGAGAAGTCTAAATCATACGTCATCTGTAAATGCACCTTCTGCACTCACCATCTCTAGTGTTTTCCATATTTCTAGAAGTGCCTCAAGCTATCTTGCAGTTGGAATACAGTCTCACATGGCACAATTCAGTGAACTAAGGGTTATCAGTAACTCCACCCTTTGTAGCACATATTTGGCTGCACTTACCTTGTACTAAAACTAACACACTGGTCAGTATGTTCCACCAAATTGAACATAACTAACATTCAGATGTAAGGCACTTTAGGTCCAACAACTGACACTGAGTTCCTTATTTCAGTCTTGACCACTTATTGTTCAAGACTTTAGTTAATGACAGTTGGGATCTAGCAGACCACTGCGGTTCCTTACTGCAGTCCAGCTGCAGTCTGTTATTATCATAACAAAGTTTAACAAAATCGTAACTAACTGAAATGAGGATGGATATCTTACTTGCACTTCCTGGTATGTTTCCAAGTACTAGTGAGAAGTCATAGCCCACAGGACAGTAGGAATGTCGAAAAGTGTCAATGTAAGCATGTCAGATGAACGCATCTTCTAAGTTTGAGTCCTCGGAGGCCTTTCCACTGAAGGCAGACACTGCGGTTCCTTGTCCTTCTCCTGCTATGACTCTGCTAATGTGTGTTTTAAGCTTAGGTAGCTAACAAACCAAGTGTTCTCTTAGGGACACTTTGCTGCATCTGACAGAAATGCACACCCTTCTGGTTGGGCATCTACCTTCCATCTGAAAGCAAGAACTATGGTTCCTTAGTCAAATCTAATCGAAAATCCGGTTTTAGTTTCTCGCAACTTACAATAGTGAACAAATAAAGTCAGTGTTAGTGTAAACTGTGTCAGTTGAGCATATCCTCCAAGTCTGACTTCCACGACACCTTTCTTCTGATAGCTGTAACTGCGGTTCCTTAACCCAGTCGTGCTGCAAGTTTACTAGCAGTTTCTAGCCTGGGGAACATATTAACATCGGATGTACAATAAGGCACTTTAGATCCAACAACTGACACTGGAGTTCCTTATTTTGGTCTTGACCACTTATTGTTCAAGACTTTAGTTAATGACAGTTAGGATCTAGCAGACACTGCGGTTCCTTACTGCAGTCCAGCTGCAAGTCTGTTATTATCATTCTCACATTGCATAACATAATAAGTAAAGCATGTCAGATGAACACATCTTCTAAGTTTGAGTGTTAATGCATGGCAAATACTATTCAGTCAGTTTTTTCAAAACATATGAAAGTGCACGGTCAATGTGCATATAATGTTCTTCTGTCCATTGTTTTCTCCACAGTTCCTCGTAAAAAAGCATTGACCTTTCAAGATGTACAACTTGTTTCAAAAGAAGCAAGGGGAGGCTGACATTAGTGCCAATTGCAACTCCATATGTGGTGATTACATTGATATTCTTCACACCTTGTGGGTCATTCTTGGCTAGTTGGTGCAGTTGAGATGCTGCACAAACCAGCATATTGGCCTGCAGCTGATTGCGCACATCGTCTTCTGTAGCTACAGACAGGAACTTGTTCTCAATCGTTGCTGTGCAGCGGAGCTCACCATGCACAACTGCCTGATCCTCGTCATCATCGTCATCTGTTTTAGTGTGCAAACATGCTGAAACTGTGGAAGTTTTTGCATGGATATAAATGTCTCCCCCCCCTGTAAATGGAGAGAATCTGTTTGAATCCCTCGGTGCACGAAAAATTTGAAGAGGGAGGTGTTCATTGTTGATGATCCCTTCCAGAGCTGCAAGAAGCTTATCTGTTCGTGTAGCCTCCTGAATCTTACCCAGATTTGGGGTAGCACTCACAGGATGTAAATTCAGCTTACCCTTGACCATTGTGTAGTTTGCACTTCTGAGAAAAAGATATGTGCTCCCCATTCCCCTCATGTTGGAAGGTGCTATTTCAGGCAAGCCTATAGAGTTCGTTGGCTTCCCGATAATTGGGAACTGCTTGTGGTGCTTACTTTTGGTGAAACTACACCTCGATGTGTTTTTATATCTGAACATGGCCACATTCTTGGGGGCTCCAGACACGAACACGAATTCCCCTTGCGGGGTTTTTGGTAGTGGAGAGTTCTGTTGCCTAGCGTATTTAGCTACCTCCTTCACACTTAAGTGTGACCTGTTAGGCAGCTTCAGCTCCTTCTTGCACACTACAAGCCCACACATGAGCACAGTGGTGTCATAGAGCTGGAATAAGAGTAATTTTAGAATTTAAAAATGTGCACATGCCTGCAGTGGTACACATGCACATAAAATTGATAGGCCAGGCCTCACATCACATGCTTGCTCTAACGTGGGCTAGGTAGGTGCAGCAGTTGGTAGCATTTACAGTGACACTACCATACCTCTCAAACCCTTGTAGCAAAATTGTCCATTATTTTTCATGCTCTTGCAGCAATGAAGCTGTTGGTATCGCTTATAAGGCCTATACAATTGTAAAAACACACAGACATAGTGTAGCCAGAGCACCACAACACCCAGCCCTGAATGTGGTAGCTAGCCGGAGTCACCACACTGACTCAGTTTTCTGTTGTCACCTTGTATGCTTGCCCCAGCCGGTATACCTCATGTCGTACACTTACATCCATTCACTCTATAAAATCTCACACAAATTCTGCTAAGAGAGCTCAAATCCAAAGTCCCTGGTTGAACTTGTACGGCTGCTAGCGCACTAACGCCAAACCAGAGAGCACTCTGGGTCTAGAGTGTTACAATACAAACAAACCAAGTACCAGAAACCCTCACTGCACATGCGCGCCAAGGGTTAATTACCTAGCATATACATACCAGTTCATCTATCTCCTCATCAATGACCTCTTCTTCGTCTCCTTCGTCTGTTGTCACCTGGTCCTCATCCTTAAAGAGCAATTGGCAGATGAATATAGATATTTGACAGAGGAATAGCAAATTTACGGGATTTTCCAAAAACCTGTGAACACCACTGTCAGGAGCTGATGAGGGCCGAAAGCCCAAAGGAGCGTCCAACAGCGCACAATGTGTTAGGACGGGCATGCTGCCTCAAACCCCAGGTAAAGAGTGTCTTAATGCTTCCATTTCACATTCGGGACGAACGACAAATGACCCAACTCGCTCCCATGAAAACGAAGTGAGGTAAGGGTGGGGTAAGGGCAATTAAGGTTACGGGTATGCATTCCGCTTAATTAAATATTCATAAATATGTTGCGCTTTTAACGGATGTCAGAGGTTTTATTTGGAATGTGTAAGAAGAGTGGTAAAGCAGGTAGCGGCAAGTGCAGATTTTTCATGTCAGTTTTCACCAAGACAGCACGAGCTGGTGCGAAGCTAGCGGCACCTATGTGTAGCTCTAGTCCTAGTATATGGCCAGAGTGGATGCTTACTAGGCTCCAATGCGTGATAGCCTGCCAAGGGTGTAGAGTCGGCAGTACCACACTGATAAACTCGCAAAAAAAACCGTATCACCGCTACCTTTCCATGTCGCAAGGCTTGGTTTTGATCTTTCTTTCACTCTGGCCTTATATTAATGTTCGGTGAATAAGAGTGCGCAGTGTGTGCATCTGTCACTTAGTATACACTGCGCCCAAAAGTTGACGTTAAAAAATGCACATTGCATTCTGCGTACTTAACCTGTATAAATATGTGCGTGGGCGGAATGCATACCCGTAACCTTAACAGTACTTCTGTAGTTGCTCTAGCTGCAAAAAAATCACCACCCCCAGCCTTGTTAGAGCAAAAGATAATGGAGAGATTAGAGCTTGTTGATTCAGCAAATACCATTTGAGCCCCTGTCCTATGAACATCCTTTACAAAGGGCTTACAGCTGATTCCTGCTCTTCATCCATCCTGACCCGTTTAGCAGGTACATCGCTGCCAGATTTATTCCTTAGCCGCAAAGCTCTTGAAGAAGAGGGAGAGGGTTCCTCATCGTGGCGGAGGGACATTGTGCTTTAGTGGAGAGAGACAGGGATGACTACCAGTACGATTTTGATAAAATAGCATTCTCTGCATTGACCTAACCAGGTTCTGCAGTCGGAGGTGCCATGCCTGGGGGATAGTTTAACATTGCAAACACGGTACAGAAGCTATTTAGCTCTGAATGTCCCGTAAATCTGTCATGGATCATGTGGTTTACTAGTAGCATGTTTCCCACAATTAACATATTGACTACAGAGCAGATTCAAGATCCCAAAAACGGTGTGTACAATTATTTATACACAGTACAGTTGCACTGTAAGAAGATGCTCTTACACATCTCAACCATAGAGTATAGGCTTGGGAATGGGAGGCTCTTAGACTTGTCTCAACATTAACTAGCAACGAAATGCTGATGCAAGGTTGATGGACAAGAATAATTGATTTACTATATACAAGACATCATAGTGAGAACCTACTTATGGCTGCAGCGAAAAGCACTAAAGTGCAAACCCTCAGCAATTCACATTTCGTATATTGTGTATGTGTAAGAAACACCACTAGTTGAAGGGCCAGGTCATGAGATCACCAACTGGTGTTCATTTATCACTCTAATGAATAGCACTAAAGTGCAAACCCTTGGCGCAAAAGGAATGCAAGTCCTGACAGAGCAAGTACATACGTGAGCATCGCGCCTGGGCCAGGTCACGCATCCCCAGCGGTCAATTGAGACTTTAGAGAACAGCACACTTGATACGCGACTACCTTGATTCTTCTACAATGCAGTGTACAGGATGCGGATCAACTGTTAAGAACGGCAGGAGCTTCTGCGAAGATTGCGCATGCGCTTAAACCACTCAGCCACACCCACTAATTACAACCCAATTACGGGCGTGCGCTAAAAGATTAACATACACGAAATACTGGTGTACCGCTCTAAACTATCGCGCGTGCGCTTGTCCATTCTACCAAGCAACGCACGAGCCCTTCCCACCTTTTGCAACGGTCTTTCATCTGCACACCGCTGCACATCGATTGGATAAAAATGCCCGCTCGCGGGAAACTTTCGCCGCTTGAATATATCTGGAAGGAAGCAAACGATGTCTCTTCTTCAGCTTGGGCAGATTATATTTGGTGGGACACCACGAATCATTGCCTATCTTCGACAACATAACTTGCTGGCAACGACAATGGATTGCACAAGGTATAAAGACAGTTACAGCATGTAAGTCACGAAGAAATGAGATATTGCAATGCATGTAGGTGTCCAAATACTCCAATGATTGAGCGGCCAAGGGAAGATGTGTCCGACGGGGTTAGCTGGTATTGCCCACAATGCTATACAAGAAAGAGCATCAGAAAAGCTAGCTTTTTTGAGAAATCACGACTCCCACTGCAGAAGTGGGTGATACTAATGTACATGTGGGTCAGGCAATACCCAGTCACAGATGCCTGCGAAGAGGCTGAAGTCGGGGAGCATACAGCCATTGACATCTACCAATGGCTGCGGGAAGTTTGCTCCCAGGCCCTCTTGAATGGTCCACCAATAATACTTGGAGGCCAGCAGACAGTGGTCGAGATAGACGAAAGCCTCTTTCGCCACAAACCAAAAGTAAGAAAAATGTAAAATTAAGCATGATTGATTAAAAAAGGCTTATTACACTGTAGCACCATCGTGGCAGACCAACAACTAGAGAGGTGTGGGTGTTTGGGCTAGTGGATACATCCCACACACCGGCATTAGGCTACATGGAAGTGGTACAAAAGAGAGACGCAGCGACCCTACTCCCGATTATTCCAGCTCACACAGCACCTGGTACCATAATCCATTCGGATCAGTGGGCAGCATACAGAAGAGTTCAGGCTCTTCCGAATGTTGCTGCACATGGTGTGGTAAACCACTCCCTCAACTTCATAGAGCCGGTGACAGGCGTCCATACTCAACATGTGGAGAGTTATTGGTGTCGTGTGAAGACCAAGCTGAAGCGCATGCGAGGATGCCCATGCCCACCAACTCCCAAGCTATTTGGATGAATTCCTATGGAGAGAGAGGTTTGGGCAGACGGCTCGAGATACACTGAATAACGTAATGATGAACATAGCTCAGCAGTACCCTGTGTGAGGACTATGAACAGAGCAAACATCTCCTTCTCATATTAGTCTTGTACTATCGTTTCTCCGCATTATGTAGCTGTATTCCGTTAGATTCATCCGATTTATATCCTCACCCTTCCGGATATCCATCTTTTCATCAGTTTTTGGTCCATATATCCGGTCTAGATCTCGTTGTTTCACCATTCCCTGCGATTCTATCCAATGGCTGTGGAGGTCGTCGTTCTCGGAGCGTGCACTATTTAGAATGAACAAGCGCACGCGCGATAGTTTAGAGCGGTACACCAGTATTTCGTGTATGTTAATCTTTTAGCGCACGCCCGTAATTGGGTTGTAATTAGTGGGTGTGGCTGAGTGGTTTAAGCGCATGCGCAATCTTCGCAGAAGCTCCTGCCGTTCTTAACAGTTGATCCCAGGATGCTCTCCCGGCCCCTATTCTTGCCAGGTAAGGGGAAAGCAGGCAGGCACACAAGCTAGCTAGATCGAGGAGGCGGGAACGAGGTTGGACTTTTTGCACATGCTGTTCTATAATAGCACAACAGACCAGACACCAGAAGGACCATAAAAGATGTAAAGTTGGTCTGTATTTTTACATGCATATCAACAATAGTGTATATACTTACTCTCCCAGTGACAGCAAGGTGTGTGATTACCACCAGAGTCTAGTCCACGGCTGTTTCGATTGCGCGTTTTAGTTGTAAATGTGACGTAATAAAAAAATTTTAAAATACGGTATGAGCTTGTTCCGTTCCGTTTCTAGTCAGCTCTTTTGTGCAAAACGTGAGGTTTTTGCTGAGCTGGCAGTGCTAGCCGCGGAGAGGGCTCTTTGCTGAGCGTTCTCGTCCAAGCCGTTTGCAGATACTCCGAAGTGTTAGTTGTTTAGGTTCGAGTACTCCGGGTCTTCATCAAATTTTGTCGTGGACCGGGACGTCCCTTGCCACCACTACTCCGCTTTTTAGGTCTCCCTGCCCGGTGTGACTGACGAAAGTGCTCACAGGTCTACAATAAGTAGAATATTTTGGCTGTTGATATGTGTGCATGTTTGTGTTATGTTTACCATGCAGTTCTCAGAAGTGTGTTTGTGCATTGGTGAACAGGACGTGGATCTCTTCATAGAGCAGTAGCAGGAGTGACAGAACTCTTGGGGGTGGATTGCAGGGTCATCGCTCTCTAAGGGCAGGCCATACACTGCCTGTAGATCCAACCTGTGCTGGACGACATTGTATTTCGTCTCTCCACTGCTGCAAAGCTTCCCACAAAACCGACAGTGTTTATGAAGCTCAGTCTTGTGGAAGTCTTCCCCTTCGGAACTCATTATGTACCTACAATTTAGTGTATTTTGTAACTGTCACTACTCTCTGAAAAAAATTAGAAGCTACTTTTCCTTTGGTTTATCTGGTGCAGTGATACATTCTCAACAGCTAGCTTAGCTTCTCTTACCTCGGAAAATTCCTCGCTTCCCGCTAAGTGGATAATACCAGAGGCACTCCCCACGCAGCTAGCTGTTGTGGGATACCTCTAGAGAATGCGTGCGCGGTTGTCATAGCGCAGTGTGGGCGCTGCGCCGAATATGCTATAGTATCCAGGGAGACCAGTCGGACCAACTAGGTATGTGTGGAATGCCCAAAGGAAAAGCCCAAGGCCATCAAGGCGCTTTGTTTTCCCCCGTTTGCAAACCGCGACGTCCGGTTTTTTGCGCGATCACGTAACCAAGGAAACCGCGCCTGCCGTAATTCGCGTACGCGTTCTAAATAAACGCTAAATGTCCACCGGAAAACAGCCGTGAGTCCCACCCTACGAAGGGGGTGGGGGGGAGGATAGTTAACCCTCGGCGCGCATGCGCGAGGGTTACTGTAGTTGTCTTGTGTATCTGTTACCGCTCTAGCTGCTTCAGCGTCCGTTTATATCCGCAAGCACGGGTTTCTCGTAGGCTTTACTTGGATTTTGACTCGTTGATTTTCGAAAAAACCTTCCGTTCCAGAGTTATGGCGTGAAAAAGCCAATATGCAAATAAGTTGGAGTTCACCGCGAGCCGTTTTCGCGCACTTTCGGGATCAACAAAAAGCAGGAACAACTTGAGCGACAACTGGTCGGTGGAAAGTTGCTTCAGACGCTATCTACTGGTGCAACCGGCCAAAGACCGGCGAGATACTGCGCTGCATAAGCCGCGCTATAGAGAGCAGCTACTATTCCTTTGCGCATGCGTACTCGACGGGCTGTCGGAGGGATGAACTTAGTTGGAGAACCAGTCCACCGGTTTCGCTGGCCTGTGTCAGAGCGAGCTGTCCGACGACGGATATATACTTCGTGGCGCGTGGCGGCCCGGCCCTTGCGTGTATTAGCCTCGTGTAGCCAGGCCTTTGTGTGGCTCCGCGAGGCTACTGTGTGTATATATACGCATAGCCAAGTATTGTGCATTTCAATGTTGCAACAACGCCGAGGGTTTGCACTTTAGTGCTTTTCATTTTATTGTGCAATCATATTAGGGTCTAGGAAGGGAGGCAATGAAAAAGGATGCACAGGACACTCCCAAACCAGGGGTATAGATATTATGAGAAACGTGAGGTAAGGCGTTATCTTGCAGCGAACGAGTGAAACCTTGCCTACGCTAGGACTAGGATCTCAATCGCACCAGTCTAGTGTACACACTCACGGACCTCGTCTAGCTGGATGCTGTCCCACGGACCTTGTCTAGGTGAATAGAGCTGTACAGTATGTACTTCTCTCTCAGTGACCGCAAGGTGTGAGTACCACCAGAGTCCCACCCTACAAAAGGGGTGGGTGTCAGCCTATCCACGCACTCTTTATTGGACGATTACCTAAAACCACCACCTATTATCCGTCCCTCCTGCCCCCAATCTCACCCCCAAATCAACTGGAGTGTACGGACCAGGGCGTAACAACTTCTTTTTTTTTGAATATTATTATGATAAGTAAACGATACAATAGACAAGCAAACAAAAAAAAAGCAAAAACAAAGAACAAACAAACAAATAGACAAAATACAACAACAACAACAAAAAAAACAAAGAAAAACGCTAAATAATACTGTCAATGTGCGGGGGAGGCGTTGGGCAACGGTGAAGCCACAGAGTTGCATTTCCTCTCCAGAGGCAAATAGCGCACCGTTGGAAGAGGTGACGGGTGGTTTCGGAGGGAGGTAAGCCCAGCCGCTGCCCTAGGAGCCGACCGATACTAGAGAGGGTTTTGGCAGCGAGATCACTCCAGCCTCCGAGAGACTCGACCAGGAGAAGGGACAAACGACACTCCCATAGCCCGGCATGAGGCTGCGTGAAGGGCCATCTTCCTCTCTTCTCCTACTCTCAATGCGTGCCCTTGGACACTGGCTGCACCATTCAAAGTAAGCTGTTGCAGAGTGGAAATGACGGAGACGTCAAGTGCGGCTGGACGACCTCTTTCCCAGTTAGGGAGGAAAATGTCAGCAGGGCGAGATTGGGAGCAGGGCACGAGAGATGGCAACTCCTTCCGGGGCGCTAAAGCAGCTGTCTGTGCTGCTGAAAATAATGCATCCCAGATAGAGTTGTGACGATGGATACGATCCCCATTACCCCCACAACCTACATACGCGTACGCGGATCGTATACTTGCTGGCCCGGTCCCCCCAGCCCTGGCCTAATGCCCTAGCGACTAGCCCTAGCTTCCCTTCAGCCTAGTCTTACCTCCCACGTGCGTAGAACGCATGCGAGAAGTCGTTACACGCCAGGTCCGTACACTCCAGTTGACCATTCAAGAGGAAGAAACGCTTGGTTACATACACCCACTACCCACTACCCACTACCCACTTACAAGATGGCGTTACTTCTTTTAGTCCCCTAGGCTAACTTCCCCACTGGCGCTGGGCACGCTGGCAGAATAAAGGAGTTTTTACTGCTTTACTTGACGTCTAGAGCTATCCCCGGAAGTGCTTGTGTAGCCGTTGCCTAGCAACCAAAGTTTCAAAGGCTATTTCGGGCCGAGGGAAGGGTGTGGCTTACTGGAAAAGTAGGCCAATTATGAAAGGGGATCAACAGCTAACAAATAATTAGTTGCAATCCCTTAATTAAAGGGGGTACGCGGTATTGCGCAAATATGCGTCTATGGCGGTTAATCGGATAAACAGAGTAATGGAGCTAAGGAACCGAGTTAATTCACCCGTTGAACTATCAGCATTTATGTTGCGTCCAGGAATTTACCGTCTTTAGTCATCAACAAACACTGCATTAACTTCATTTCCACCACATTTGGTTACATGGGGATAGTACAGTACTATAAACAGAGTGATAGAGCTAAGGAACCAAGTTAATTACAGCCTTCAACTATTGGCATTCATGTCGACACCAGGAATATATATTCCTCTGTCTTCACCAAACACTGCATTAGCTTCATTTTCATTACATTCGGTTATATGTGAATGTACATCAGCTCTGGCTCCTTGTTAATCACATGGTATCAGGTAACACATTAAAATTTATTTATGCCTGATAATGCTGTGATAAACAGCAATGGGAATGTAGAATCAGATCGATCCCTAAGTGCATATTTACAAGTAATAAAAAAATCCTATGGATTACGAAAAGGAGGGCATATAGGGATGGCATAAAAAGATGGAGGTGGTGAGTGAGGAGTTAGGATTCCCGGGGTCATTACACCACCCCCTATATCGTCGAATCGGTGCTAAACAAAATGTTTAAGAGTTTGACACCTGAAGAGTGAGACTTATGCACATACAGCCATGTACATTGGCAATGTTTTCTTTGCATGTATCCATGTAATGTTGTTACACGATCAGCTAATTGACAACATACCTCCTACCACAATACCCTACATTCTGATGTACGTGTGAACACAATTAAAGCAGACACATGAGCATCATCAATACTGCACATGAATGTTCGTAGTGAAGACTCTTCATCTACTTTTTACCAACACTGTGTGACGATATAGGGGGTGGTGTAATGACCCCGGGAATCCTAACTCCTCACGCACCACCTCCATCTTTGAGCTCACGACACACACCATCCCTATCTTGTCTCCTTTCCTTTTTATGCCATCCCTATGTGCCCTCCTTTTCGTAATCCATAGGATTTTTTATTTACTTGTCTCCACTCATTTTTATACATGTTTGTCATGGAAACGATTAAATACATATGCGTACAAAGTTTCATCTCCATGTGTGCTACTGTTAGTAAGTTTGACGGGTGTAGAAGGAAAAGTGCCTGAGGCTATTTTTTGTTGGTTGTCGTCATGGAAATACCAAGTTTCATCTCCATGCGTGCTACCGTTAGTAAGTTTGAGGAGTGAAGAAGTAATTATGAAGAAAAGTGCCTGAGGCTATTTGTTGTTGTTTACAGATATGTAATGTAGATGCCATGGGAATGATGTGATGTGCGTGTGTACTAAGTTTCATCTCAATATTAGTTACCATTAGCCCATTATAATGATAAACAGTTTTATTTAAAAACATTGCCTGAGGCTATTTGTTGTTGTTTACAAACATGTTTGTTGTTGTTATTAATTCCGTTGATTGAATATATTATGTTTACAAGGTGTCGTTTGCATAGCTCTTACTACTTGTGAGTTACACTGCCTCATGTGTGCCCATTATAATGTATTGCTTGGGGCTATTTGTTGTTGTTTATCGGTTAATTTAATTATGTACAAACATCTAAGTATGTGCAGTCTCTTCGGAGTACAAATATTTACCTTCTTACAAAATTTCATGACTTTATCTCAAACGGTGTTTGACTAGTTCGAGTTGAAGAAGAAGAAAAAGAAGAAGATGAACAAAACTCTCTATCATAGCCCCATACATCTATGATGCTAGGTACCATGCCCATTCCTATATACTAAGTACTACCGTACTTAGTGATTACACTATCAATCACTTTATTACAAATCACACGTGTAATTAGTTAACAAAATTTATGATGTATATGTATAGTAATAGTGCAGTTTGATGTGGTATTAGGGGATGGAATTTTCAAAATAGTATGAGGCGAAGCCGAATACTATTTTTAAAAAATTCCATCACTATTAATCCCCTAATACCATACCAAACTGCACTATTACATGTTAATAGTATAGTGCTGTGTATAGTGATCAGTGTAGATTAGCTATAGTCATGCTCACAAGATCTTTCGCGACACTTGTTTCTGGAGCTGTAACTTGTATGAAGTATTTCACATTGATTTCCTAGTCACTTGATTTGATCGGTGGGTATTTCAATTTTCGGGGGGTATTTCAATTTTCCGAGGGTATTACGGTGAAATAGTTAAATTCTCCATGGATCAAATGTATTGGCTGTTACACAGTATACTATTAATCATAAAAGAGAGTGTTTTATGCCTAAAATATCCTAATGTTGATGTGATAAACAGCATTGGGAGTGTAGAATCAGATCGGTCCCTAGTGCATATTACACTATCAATCACTTTATTACAAATCACACGTGTAAAATTAGTTAACAAAATTTATGATGTATATTATTATATATCATAAAACAGAGTGTAAAATATCCTAATGTTGATGTGATAAACAGCATTGCGAGTTCAGAATCAGCTCGGTCCCTTATTACACTTTTCTGTATACGCAATGGAGAGTTTGGAGAGCTTTGTGAGCACACGATTATCTTAAACAACAATCAATTTCAAATTACATGGTATCAATTAACCAGTAACAAATTATATCATAGCATTTATGTCTGAAATGTCCTGATATTCATGTGATAAACAGCAATGGGAGTGTAGAATCAGCTCCGTCCCATATTGCAAATCACTGCATAAGCAATTGTGAGTTACGTGAGTACAAAATAAGATCGGTCCCTTATTGCTCATTATTTTTTACGGAACACACATGTAATTAGTTAACAAAACTGATGATGTATATCATAAAAGAGGGTGTTATATGCCTGAAATGTCCTAATGTTGATGTGATAAACAGTAATGGGAGTGCAAAATATGCTCGGTCCCTTATTGCTATTGTACTGGTTAATTTCATGGTGAAGATTAGTGGCATAACGGTAGATTTATTGTGTGCAGATTGACCTGCTATTGGAGCAAAAGAAGGCTGTGTGTGTGTGTGTGTTGGGTATTGGGGGAAGAAAAAGGAAGATAGTCCTACAGATTGTGGGAGGCGTGTGCCGACCTCACCGCGTGTGGCTGCCTAGTGGTCCAAGGTGTATGCATCATTAACTGTTGACTCACTTCTACTCTACTTGGGGACATGCATGGGTAGTATTGAGCTATTATTCTACTCTATGGTTTCTGTGTCATTTATGTATTTGAAAGGGCACCTAAGTTATGGAGGTAATAGGGGAGGGCAAGGTGCTGCTGTTAGAGCGGAACAGTATGTGTGTATGCACTACACATACAATCACAAGAGTAAGACATGGATGCCCAGCCTTGAGAACTGGGGACGGTGGGTTAAAGATCTTTGATGGCTAGCCAACTCTCCCCACACATCCAATGTCACAGACTCTCGTGAAAAATCTACAGCTTACAGTACTGTATTGAAGTAGTTACAATCACATACCTTAGGCTCTCTGGGGGACTTGAAATCCTATGGTTCTACTAATGCACAGTGGGGTATTTATAGGGAGTTGTGATGTCATAGGTATGGAATTTCCTAAGGGGGAAATGGGCTTGTTACTCTAGGATCCTGGGTGATGTATTTTACTCTAGTAATACTCACAAGTGTACAAAATGGGGTGTGTGTGTGTGTGTGAATTTTAATGCAGCTTTTTTTCGAGGGTAACATGCCCTGTGCCTGATAATGGTGCCTGCCGGCTCTAGAAGGATCCCAGAGGCTGCTGTGCCTGGTTGTAGCCCTAGCTCTATGCTTCTGAGCCCCACCCACTAAAACTTATCGTCCGGTTTCTCCTCTGCATGCTGGTTTTCAGGTATGTGGCGCCACCTACCAACTTATTGGCGACTTGGAAGACGTCTTCTAGCTCTAGAGCGATCCTAGCTTCTGGCTGAGTAGAGAAACGGAAGAAACGAGGCTCCAGTTGGACGAGCGACCATGGGGTTAAATTTATGAAGCCACGCCCATCGTGGTTCCTTACGGTCGGTTCCTACCCCAGAAAGTCGCACATTTAATACCTCCCTCTCGATGTCCGTGTGCACACCATCTCTCACTATAGCTTATTTTCATGACTCTGTTCATCATACGTCATACTCAAAAATCTGAGTTAATGTAAAGTCAATAGCTACACCACTAGAGAGATGACTACAAAACTATAAAAAAAGCTTGGGTAGTTTTGCAGATCGGCAACATGGTTGAAACACATAAGAAAAAACAGTATAAAGGTCAGTGAAGGGAGAGAATCAATCACTCAGACAATCTTGATTTTGAAATAAACCTCTACTAACTGTGACTCGGTACATGGGGGAGAAGGAGGTATATAGTGAGCATAAGTGATCTGCGAGAATGTCAAAGATTGCAGAGTCTCAGGTGCCATTCAAGCTGCTTCCATGCAGTCCATTATGAACCACTCCGTTGTGTAGCAATCCATTCTGAAGAGCTGCAGCGACCTTGTACGGAGTCCCTCGTCGACTGCGGGCCTGACAACACTTGTCCCGCTATAGTCACCAAAGTGGATCACCTTGTGGTTGGGCGAGAGATGGCAGTAGAAAAACTGGTCGCGGTCGCGTCCACGCTTGACTTTGGGGAAAGAGGCGCCTTCCGTGAGGTGCCGCAGTCGCTCCTCGCGTACCAGCTGGACGATTTCCGGACGGATCTCCGCGCAGAGCTCTTGGACGGGCTTCGATTTGAGAACGCCTTCCTCCAGAAGTTGGCTGTTTTCCTCCGACTCGGTTATCTTCTTGTAGCTCAGCTCAAACAACCTCATCCTGAACAAATCGAAGGTGATGAGCGTGGAGGACCCCGTCTGGAGGACGATGCTCATCTGCTTCGTAACGACGGCCATTACCTTTTCGAGGTCGTGAATGGACGCTCGCATCTCTCTCCACGTCTTGTACAGCAGCTGGATGGTGATGCAGTGCACGTCCATGAGAGGGTCGTTGGCCCACACCAAGCACGGGATGAACTCGTAGCTTATCTCTGAGGGGGGTTCCCCCACGTGGAAGAGCTGGCAGAGGACCTTGGTGAGCATTATGCTGGCGTGGGCAAATGGGCACTGGTTGTCCGTGTGCCCGAACAACAGCTGCGTGAATATCCCTCGAGTGAGTGTTGCTGTCGAAATTCAGGCAATATGCTGCAGTCAACAAAAGGAGAAAAGTAAAAACAGACATACTTAAATTAACAGAGCTGCCAAGTTATACCAACAAAAACAAATGTAGGCAGCTATGGACCAAGTTTTGCGTCTTAAGGGCATTCTGCCCATAATTTCTGTGGTAGCCAGCACGGCATAGTACGTTCACAAAACAATTGGTAAAGGGAACTTGAAGCTCTGAGGTCCATTATTCTCAAACTTACTTCACCACAGAAAATGTATAGTGGTGGTTAACAAGCAGAGACTAGAACACAGTTAACGAAAGTTGTTAAAAGTGCATAGGACTGCATGTCACATGAGATGTATGCCAGCATATTCCATACACTACCTCAATCTCTTACACGCTCAAACAGCCCTCCTATTCCATGTCAACACGCCGGCTTTGCTCTCAAACACATGACCAGAAGAGAGCGACATTTACGCTGCATGCCTCAATAACCGCTACCACCGAACATCTTAATGGCACATTTCTGGCTTTGTGAGTGCTGCATGTGACACATGTTCAACTGCATGCATCACACACTGTCACGCATTCAGAAGAACAGGCCCTGACTACACCAACACAACTCACTACACGACCAAACTCCAATTATATTCTGATACACTTGCCACGTTGAAAAGAACAATATTTAGCGTTACACTGAGAATGTACACGAATCAATGTTTCATTAAACACGTGTTCCAACAATCACATTCCATGGCTATACTGGTAGACATAGAAAAACTGTGCCACTAGCAAAAGCACGATTTTACATACATAAAAAGGGGCAAGGAAATTGTAGCAAAGGGGAAAATCTAAAAGGTACACCAACCTTCAATAGCACTGATGACATTTGGGTCCAACTGCTGGTACTGGTACTTGCTCTTGGAAGAGAGGGAGGAGCGAGCCAAGGTCTCCCGGTCCCAGAATGCGTCCATCAGTTTGCGGGCCAGTTGTATTCCGTTCTTGGCCTCTCTGTGAGCCTCCTCCAGTTGCGGGAGAGTCACGTAGACCCCTGTACCAGGAATGAGCTCCACACGCTCACAACTCTGCCTGTGCATACTGCAGTACAAGGGAGAAAAATGTCATCAAAATTTCTTTGCAGATAAATACATAGGTAGCGACAGTTGGTGAACACAAACAGAGATTGTTGACAGAACAAACACTTGTTCCCTTCAGTGCAAATGTTTGGAGACAAAACAATATATTTTCAGTGAGAAATGAAGAGAGGTGTACTTGCCACTCACTGCAATGGAGGCACTGTCGCTGGAGGCATCTTCAGTGTCAGATGACACATGTGGGGATGTGGCAGTGGCACAGTGGTTGCTGTCAACACTAACTCCTGGTGTATGAACCTGTGAGCGGTTACCAAACCTCTAACATGTGGTAACCCATAGGGAGGGGTTTGGTTCTGACACTCACTTCAATGTTATTTGAAGACTCACCTTAATGACAGAGGTGGTGGGTGGAGTGGTGTAGGTTGAAGGTATCACCACCTGGGACACCACTGGAGGCAATCTCTGCATCCTTCACCTCCAGACACCTGTTCAGGTTGTAGTACTGTGTCCAACGGAGTCATGGTCTAGGTACTGGGTAGCTAAACTATAAAACAGTGGTAATGAGGATTGTTCTGGGTAAATTTGGTGGTCGGTGAACGGTAGTAGCATGAAACCCTCAAAGGCAATCCTTCACTCCTGTAGAAATGTATTTAAAAAAGGTGTTAAATCACGAGCAGGATCAAAGTAATGTGGCTACATGACAGTGGTGCAAGAACAAGGAGTACACCTCCCAGGCTCCTTCCTGTGTGTGTGTTTTCACCTTTGTCACAGATTACAAAGTGTCTTTATAGCTATGAGCATAATGTGACCTTGTGATACTATTACCATGACATAGTGAATAAAATACATGCATCTAGCGTACACTGCTAATATTTTTTGACTCATCGCAACACCAAACTCGCTCATAGAGCCACTTAGTGCCAGATAAAAACCAAGGGTATACAGAGGCCACAGCATTTGCGGGTACATTTCTCCTTCACTGTATCGGCCTCCAAAATGTGAATGCAGCACCTATATTTAGCCCTTTTTCTCACCGAATTTTGCAAAACGCCTCGCAAGAGAAGGTCCTTCACGTCGTGGAAGAGGTCCCACTCGGCCCTGGTTACCTTGCGCTATGCTAAACAAAAGAGATCTCGAACACCAACACAGTGGACAGAAGGGACCATGTTAGCTCCTCTCAAGGCAGTGGAGGGGGTTTGTCAGTCAGTGCAGTGGCAAGGAATTCGACGTAATGAGGAGACCCTCTATGATCAAGTTAGTGGAGGAGTCGTCACTAGCAGAAAGCCACCATACCTCAGTCACACAGAGGACAAGTAGTTGAGTAAGTATCGCAACCACTGTGCCAAAAGGATTTGTAATGTAGACGAAACATGAGTCCCACTCAATCAACGTCCACCTAAGGTTGTCACAACAAAGGGGAGAGTGACAAAAAATGTACACTCAAGTACATTTGGATTAAAAGGCCAGGTGGCTGGGGTTTGGTTTGCCAGCTAGTCTATGACCTTTATCCTACCTCAAACAAAATACGAGGTTGCAGATATTAAGTATGGTCTTGGCTCAAATGGTTGGACCAAAACCGATCTGTCCGATGCATGGTTTATTGTGCACAATGCTATGTCTGCCAGTCTACTCTTCTTTTTGCTCGATGGCCACTCACTACCAACCATGAGTGATATGCCTCACAGTGGAGCACAACTGCAGCCTACCACCTCACACCACACACGAAGCTCAACCTCTCCACGTTAGTGTGTTTACTCACTAAAACTGCAGTGGACCAAGGTATGTCATGAATTCTACCAGAGAAACGCTGGTATCATTGTTAATCATTTTTGCAAATGGCTGGGTTTAGAAGAGCTGGTGTTTAACAGTTCAACACTATCTCTATTACTAACACTGGCTAGGATGTGCGCGATCAAGGATTCACTTGATTTGGAGGAGGCTTTATTACCAATATCCAAGGCCCTACCGGTGTGCAATGTGAAGACTGCTCAAGTCCCTTCCACATCTTCCTCTGTGTCAACACACTCAAGTGATAGTAGCAGCATTCCCGGCTACAAGCACACCAGATACGGCAGGTGTTAGCACAACAACACTACGGAAAAGAGCGTTTCGAAAGCCGGTACGAAGATCTACCTGATCAAGTGAACTAAGCGTGGCTTAGTCTCTGATTTACCACTGATCTCATCGGGACAACAGTTGTCTCCTTCTGAATAATCTCAGCAGTGACACCACCAACACCTCTGACGTCTGGCACTTGTCTTAGCACTGTAACTCCCTCTCGTTCAAGCTCTAGTTGTGAATCTACTAAGCCGTCACCTAGATCTCCCTCTGTTCTATCCAGTCAAGTTAACAAAAAAGAGTTCTTTTCCAACATGTTCGTACTTCCGCCTGCTTCTACACCATCTGCACCAGAGAGAAGTCTGCCACGGGCACGATTACTGACCAGTACTGCAGGACTAGTGATGCAGGAAAAGGAGTAAAGGAAGAAGAAAGAAGCTGAACTAAAAGAATGAAAGACACAGCAGAAAGAGGAGAACAAACATACGAAGGAAGAAAGAACGAAAACAAAAAATAGAAGATTGAGCCAAGAAGCCAGAAGAAAAGGCCAAGGAGAAAGAAAAGAACGTGAACTCTGTGGCACTTTTATGTAGTCTCTCGTGGACATCATTGATTATCACGTGTCTGGCCACACTCCACGTAATGTGAGTAGTTAAAAAGCCCCCCAAAAAACAGTACAAGTGATACTTAAACTTCCATAAAATGTGATGTTATATAATTCTGCAGCAGACGTCAAGGTAAGAAACACCCCTTCAAGCCGAAATCTCAACGGATGCCTCCAAAAGCAAGTAACCCGAAGTTAGAGGAATACATAGAGAAAACCACGGCCGAAGAACACAAAAAAAGAACCCCCAGGCCCGACCTTTCCAAGAACGAAGCATGAATCCTCCAAGAACTAGGTAAGAACAGACACTTCGTATTCAAGAAAGCTGAAAAAGGTAGTTGCATCGTAGTACAAGAACGTTCAACCTGTGTAGCAGGAGGTAAGACCCACCTCGACGACAGTTCCACTTCTTAGACTCGGATCCTACAGCCTCCATAGCAAAAGCCACAGGAGAAAAAGTGGACAGCATGAGAGAAGCAGGCTACATAGACACACACACACGCCTACCTGCATCCCACGGACAAGGTAAGAACACAACGTATGTACTTTCTTAAGAAGCTCCACAAGAACCCCCATGGGATTAGACCTATTGTCAGCGGTTGCAGTGGCCCCACCGAGCGCTTTCCATCATTTCTCGACCACATAATCAAACCCCTAGTACCCACCATTCCTTCATTCTTAAAGGACTCCCCTCACCTGATCTCACCCCGATTGCAATACTAACGACCATAGATGTCTCTAGCCTATACACCAACATCCCACAGGACGAAGGCACGGAAGCTTGCCTAGATGCCATAGAAGCTGCTGGATCCTCTCACATCCCTAGAAATGTCTTACGCCAACTCTTTGACATAGTCCTTAAGTGCAACGTGTTAGCTTCGATGGCAAAATCTACGAACAGATCGGCAATGGGGACAAAGATGGCTCTTTGATATGCAAACCTGTTCATGGACAGGTTTGAAAGAGCCTTCCTTGCCCAGGAGCCTATCCGGCCTTTAGTATGGAAGCGCTACATAGACGACATATTGTGCATTTGGATAGGCGAACTAGAGTTTTCTAGACAGACCCTCCCCCCCTTTGGAACACCACCCAGAGACTCTTCATGATCACACCCTTCCTCACTCATGTAGAAGCTGGTTCTTATTTTGGGTTTTCCAGAGGGAATTTCCCACAGGGTTTTTTAACCTCCGGTTTTCCCCTGGTGGATGTTGGGCAGCATCCTCCTAAATTCATCTTTACCAGGCCCCCAGCTTGCGTCTCCTATCACCCACACGCACATACTCTAAACTCATGCATGCACATAGGCCCTAAACCGTTGCTAGGAGAAGCCATAGTATTGCCCAACAATGTTTCGCTTCTCCCTCACAACGGAACCCTTAGCCTTACGCCACCTTGTCCCTAGAATACCCGCGCGCGCAACAAGCGTAACCGCACCCCAACAACGGAGCCTTTGGCCGCATGCCGCCACGTACCTAAAACGTTCACCACTCATCCTGTGAACCATCACCTTCTCTGTATATAACTAGCATTTTTTTGTAGTCACCAGAAGAAGGTCATCCGTCACCGAAAGTACTAGGGAAGTATTATTTTTATCAACCGACTGGTCTACAATTGTTGCGCATGGCTACTCCTGAGACTTCGAGGAGCCTCTGCCACCGTCGTCCAGTCCCGCGGAAGTGGTCGGGAGCGCCGCCCCGCACCCCTCCGGGGGGCCACCCCCTTCGGGGGCTTCGCCCTCTACATTATCCCTACACCTTGGTTACACAGACTAAGATGCTAAAATATCAAAGATAAAAGAATGGTGTCATGTGGCTTTGTGTATATTTCGTGTGTAACATCCCCTTGCTTTTTTCGTCTCGTGTATCTTGACTTCATCATCAAACCACAAATCTATTAACTGTACGTTTGTGGTTCCTGCCCACTTACTTATTCTACCCTTACCAGATAATGGTCAAATGCCCCAATATTATCACCACAGTCTCTTAGAAGTTGAATGTCTGTAACTACATCATCAATCATTGAAGGCTTGGTCTAACCCTAGTCTACACCACTACTAAACCAGATCAACCTTATTCTTGCATTACACATCTTTTCTCAAACAGCCAAAAAACATCATCCACATCAGAGGACACACCAACACTAGTATTGAAGGCCTCAAGAATACTGTACGTACCTACTCTCCTACCCAAGCACTTCTTCCGCAGGCATATTTACAACACCAATGTACAAGCTTCCTTCTCCCTCTCCAACCTAAACTTTCGTCGACAAACTCTCCTCACAGCAGACCTTCTAAGCTGCTGAAAACAAAACCCGAGACCAAAATGAGGAAATTGTGAATGCTGAGAATGGCTTGCACGAACCTTTCTGCTGCCAACCTAAAACGTAAAACGATTCCTACCCTCCGTTGTGATTGTATAGAAGCAGTCATGCAATTAAAGGGACATAATTGTGTACCATATTTCTCAGCAATGGAGGTGGCAATTCCAGTGTGACCCAGTCTCTGGTGGAGAAGAGCCTTAACAAGAGCTGTCCAGGACACCTCCTTCACACGGTCGTCTCTCTGCAGCCAGTGTAGGACCACTGCATCCAGGAAGGCCAGGTTGGATCTGCTGTTTTCTCTCAGATCCACCACACGGCGATGAGCCAGTCCCAGGACAAGACCCAGGTTGTAGATATCAGACTGGTCCAGATCCATCAGCTGGTCCGTTATCTCCACCAGATCATCCTCTCCTGCAGTCAGGTTGATATATATAAACACTGTGACCACACAAATAGAAGATAATTTATGCAACACAAACTGGCAACATAGTAATAAACGGCACACAGTCTTACCAAGTGAGCCATCTTGAGGACCGGAACAAGAATTGCTTTCCTTTTTAACTGCATCTGAAGTAAAGAGAAAAAATAGATGGCTGGTCAACAAGCGGTTACTATACAGCATCAAAATAAACATTAATAAGGTTTCTGCCACATACCCTGCTTTAAAGACTGTTAGGGAAAAAGCACATCAAGTGTATCTACTGCTTGTTCACAACAAGCAAACAATCTCACTTACCAGTTGTTTCAGTTGTTTCCTTGGGATCAGTTCTCTCTTCTCCTTTCCGTTTTGACATTGTATCTGGCTCCCTGTCGACTTCAGCACTTTCTTCATCTATACGGTGGAATGTACTAAGGTATGAAAGCCTGAGTATAGTACAGATGTGTGTTGCAATATTCTACTAGTCTGCAGTCATCTGAAGAGCAGAGAGGCCTTTTGGTTGGTGAACTACGTACCTGACAACTAATCTCCAAAACTGACGTACGTACATGTATCAAAATATAGTACTTAGAAATTAACAAACCTTGTTTGTATTCAGACTCTTTCAGCCAGCACGGAATATGCTCTTTCTTGAGACTTGCAACTGTGTCAAACTCATTACAGTCGAGGGAGCAGGTCCACTCTTTGTTCCTGATGTAGGCTGGATGAGAGCTGTTGGCAGTGGTGTGGCTGGGACAGAGGATGGCAGGGCTGGGCTTGTTGTTGGAGTAGCCGAGTGTGGTTGATACCGACTCTAGTCCACTGAAGACAGCACATCGTACATGTCTCCACACCTCCACTAGCTTACTGCGTGACGTGTGGACGTGGACTTCAAAGTATGTGTAGCGATCGATTAGCAAGGCAAAACCATTGTAGTCTGAGACCTGAAACTGGATGCAGTTGCGGTACAGACAAGCGGGACTGTTGTGTGCCAGACGGACACTCCATGGACAGGGATGTCTGTTAGCTCTGGAGAGGACGTGGGCTATGAGGGAACAGCACACTCCGTGCTGGGGTCCACCGTCGGGGAAACGGACCACCAGGGGAGAGGGGCTCACACAGTGTGGACGGATTTCTTTTGGTTTCAGATGCTTCAGGACACACGGCATGAACCACGTGCCAGGAGAGAGCCGTGCAAACACCAGTAGTCTTTCCAGTAAGGTTGTCAGATGTTTCCTGGTGAACACTGTCTCTTGGTAGTGGCTGCTGAAACGACTGTCCTTTAGAAACTTGTCCGTTACTTGTGCAAACTGCTCAAATTCCTGCCACCCATCGGGAGGGTCAGGTGTGGGGCTGGGATCTTTTAGTTTGAATGTGAACTGGACGAGTTCGCTCACCTTGTCCAGGAGGACCTGGGGATCCACAAACACCACATCGGGAAGAA